GATGCCTTCTCCTACTCAGCTCAAGCCTATTTTCGAAGCTTTAGTCCCCAGGATTTCTATTTATTCTACATGAAAACTTCACAATAAATTGATGCTTTGCTTGATTTAGCCATTACTGTCTCTTGTTGGCAATAAAAATTTCTATTAATTTCTAGTATCTTTTGAAAGTACTTTGTAAAATGAGAAAATTTGGAATGTATGCATTCACCTATGCCAAGATTATAGCAATACACTAAATTCACATAACATTCTTTTTTTGTACCCTAAGATTTTTGTTGTTTTAAAACTATCATATAAACAGCATTGAATATGTGATGTTATTAAGTTTCCCGGCCCAAAAAAAAAAAAAAAATCAAAGATTTAGATTTAGCAGGGGTGCTTAGTAAGAAAAAAAAACATTTTATTACTATCAGATATCACTTAAGATATACAAAATTGAAGAAATGTTACATACCATAGATAGGCAGGGTTGACTTATGCACAGGTTGGGTTCCTGGGAAGGCAGTAGAGACATTTGTTTTAAACTACTTAAAATTAACACCATAGGCATACCCTAGTAAGCAAAGTCTGCCTTCCACTTAGAGACAACCAAAGTAATGAAAATAGTCCATGTCCACATTCTGAATAGCTATGACATTTAGGCGCTCGGTTTATTGGATGTTATTTTTTATGACTCTAAATTCTGAGGAAATATGAAGTTATATAATTACAAAAGACAGGGAAGGCAAAATAAGTATGGTGTCAAGAAAGCAGAGGGGTTGACACAAGAAGGATGAAACCAATAAACCCAAGTATGTACGAGCTTTGGACAAGGTTATATGAAAAGGGGGCAAGGGAGCAGCATTATCGCTGGGATTCACTATTTTCCCTCCAAAACCAAGTATTCATTTTTGTTTAAATAAGATAATTTTTTAAGGTTTATTTATTCATGCATACAAGACTGGGGTACAAGCCAGAGGTGCAGGAGATAAGAAAATTCACCAGAGACAGAGTGGGGAGCAGAACAGGAAGATCTACCAAAATACACTGCTGAGGGGAACAGCAGGTGAGTCAGGAGAGGTCTGCTGCCATGTGTGTCAACCCCTGGCCAGGGGTCAAACTCATGCTGCACTGGCTGTAGATAGCTTCATAGTGCTTTGCTTTAACATATTGCACCCCCAGGGTGGGCCAGGTGTTCTTTTTCCAAGTTAGATCTGTTTTCAGACAAATTCTGACTTACTGATGACCCAAGTACCTGTTGCTCAATGATTCTTAAAACTAAAAGATTATTTGTGTCTTATCAGCAATACTTAAGTCACTTTACCAAATCTGAACTAAGACAAATTGATTGGGGTTGAGTCATCCTTTCCCTTAGTATATTAGGTAGTCACATAAGTTACATGGAATTTCCAAGGAAAAATATTTTCTGTAAGAAAAATCTGGGTGGGCCCTCTCTAGTAATCTAGGGGTTCAGTCTCAGTGCTATCACTCTACAGCCAGGCCTGAGTTTGACCCCTAGTTGGGGATCTAACCCACATATGGCACAACGGACTTCTACCTCTCCTGTTTCTCCCCTTAATGGTTTATTTCAATGGATCCACCTATTCTGCTCCCTACTCTGTCTCTGATGAGTCTTCTCATTCCCCATACCCCAGTTCTACACACACACACAAAAAACATAATCAGGGAACAGTCATTAGAAGAAAGTATAGTAAAAGTGTGACAAAAAAAAAACAACACTTAAACATTTCCTGATCTTTTCATTTAATTTTTATTATATCTCCTAAAATAAAGCACAATCATAATTGGTTCCTGGCATTTTGGGTGTAATTATGTGTGTAAGTTGCTATGTTAGGTCTTATAAAAGCATCATTAGCTTTGATAGGGATGGCCCATTGTTTAGAGGGTAGAGGAAATTATACAAGTCTGATTACAAAACTATAAAAACTTATGTTCTTATGTTCTTCAATGGCATCATGTCATATTTTTTCTCAAATGAAGAAAGTATGATTAGTAATCATGAGTGAAAAGGCATGTGAATTATGTTGGAATTCGTATCGCTCTTCAGCTCTTGCTGCCATCCACAATACTCTAAATAACATAGCAACAGTCATGGCATTTGCCTTGACAAGGTTCCTGTGTGTCTCATGACTGGCCCCTTTGTGGGTGATTATAATTAATTATCCCCAGTTCTGGGTATATTTCAAAATAATGAAGCACACTAATTTTTAAGCTCTGGAATGATAGTTAGCTTAATGAAAGCATAATTCCTTAAACAGTTGCCCAGAATTACTAACTGCCAGAGCAGGCTACCGACATAAAATACACTCACTGCCCCTATTTGGGTGGTCACAAGAATAGCTATGTCAAAGAATGACAGGCTTCTCTGTACAGCACAGGTTACAGTGTCCCAGTCTGTCACAAACACTTCAGAGAAAGAAAATCCTAGTCAGTACTTTTATCACATTAAAATGAAACAGAATGAATAAACAGACTCTCAAGTTAATCTGACATTGCTTTAACTGATACAAATTAAATAGTTTCATTTTTAAATGGAAACATATTCAGCTGGAGGCTGAATGGCATGGTGCACTGTTCTCTTTAGATTTAAGGTCTATGATCTTTAACACTCAGTTGGAAGTTGATCACTATAGTTGTATCATAAAATACAATTGAGCATGTGCTAGGATATAAAGATCCTAAAATATTCTGTTGATACATAGATAAGATTGAAGAACAATTGTATACATAGTCAAAATATACTCCTTTGTATATATATATATATATATATATATATATATATATATATATATATATATATTTGCATCTGAATTCAATATATATATATTCATTGAATTCAGATGCAAATGTTAATAATCTACACACAACATTTTTAAAATACATGTTCAACTTTATTATCATCTCTAATAATGTTATCCATATGTGCATGCAATATGTTGGCATATAAATCCTCTTATTAGATACACTTCATCTGTTAATTGGATATGTATTTATGTATTTCCATCAGCTGTGTATGCATGGATTTATATATATTATATAAATATATATATATTTATATATATATTTATATATATATTTATATATATTATATATATATATTAACATTTCATTTTGCAATCATTTTTGACATTGAAAGCATGTTTCGGCTTACCTAAAAGCTGTTAATGTAACAACACAGCGGGTGATAATGCATTATTGATTCAGAAAATTAAAAATAATACAATACTATGAAGCAAGCAATAGATGTTATTTGAATTTCACCATTCCACTAAATCAATATAAATATAAATATAAAAAAAGTAAGCAAATATTGAAAATTTTGGAGAGTGTGAAAATATCGTTGTACAAAAAATACCAGACATCTAAAAGAAAAATTATTTTGCTAAAATAAAGCTTGCATATGTGGCCCTCCCTGGTGGCGCAGCAGGTTAAAGCACAGCACTAAGAAGCTTAAGCCACTTCCGCATGAGTTTGATTCCCGACTGCCCCGGAGGAGACCACATGGCATGGCAGACCTCTCCTGACCCGCCCGCTGCTCCCTTCAGCAGTGTACTTCATCGATCTGCCTGTTGTGCTCCCCTCTCTGTCTCTGGTGAATCCTCTCACCCTCGGCATCTCTGGCCTGTATCGGAGTTCTATATGCATAAATAAATAAACCTTAAAAAAATATAGATGTGAACATAATGAAGACTCAGGTGTTTTTAAACTATAACCTGATCTAAGCAACATTATAATTTGAATATTGGTATAGATCCCCTTATTATAGTTAATGAGCTTTAAATATGGGGATAATGTACATTAAATTTTCTTTGAAAACCCTAATCTTCTGCTTTGTTGGATGATGAGTACAAATATTTGCATAAAAAATATTACTTGAGTGAATAAAGATAACTCCTCATTTTTGCAAAACATTTTATGGTGTTGAAATTCTAAATGAGCTTTTTAGAATTTCAACTCTTAGCTAAAGAGGAAAAATTGCACAAAGAATCCTTTCATCCAAGTCAGCTGTACCCCATCACTGCATGATAAGAAAATAAAATCAAAAATGATGTTGAAATCAGTTGGAATTGTGAGTTAAAAAACTCTTAAATTTGATGTATTCATTCATTTATTCATTCACTTTGCATATATATATATATATATTTTTTTTCTTCAATTGGCTCATGGTGCTTCTTAAATTGAAGTTTAGAGCCATTTATACATGAGATGTACTTTACTTTTACATTGTTTGCTCCTAAAAGAAAGTACAATGTCTAAGTCCTGTAGGTTTTACAAAGTTTTCAGTTCTTTATTTTGACTGTCTGAAAGGAATACAGGTAATGCATTGCTTGGGGAAATAAAGCCAGAAAGATTGAATAATTAAGCAAACAGGGTTTAAGATCAAATGGCTAGGAACTGGTGGCTTTTATTTTGGAAGTAAAAAGTGTTTGCTTATCAATCTAGATCAACAGTGATAAGTCAAAACGTTAGCAGTCTCTATATCCACTTTCGGCCCAATCAGCACTCTCTTGAAGCCTGGAAGAGGAAATTGCTTATGAGCATTAAGCCTAAGTGCAGTGTACATATGTCAAGAATATAGGAGGCTTCTAAACCTATGATCTTTAAAGGGAAGTCACATTCTGAGGATGGGTCGTTGACTATATAATACTGAAATCCAAAGGGATCAGCATCCAGATGATAGTAGGAATAAACGCTTGCTGTCTAGAGGCATGCTTTCAGAAATTGTCATCAATTTGAAACCAAAATCATTTCATAAAGTACTATATGAAAATAAAACAAAAATTCAGTATAATCCCAAATAAAGTTACAATGAATGTGTTATGCTACTATATTAACATTTTAATTGAATAATGTAAACATTCGTGTACATTAGATTATGCTGAATTTATGTAAAACCATGATAGGGACATTGTGGAGAATTCCTCTGTGATTAAAACAGAGAGAAAATCTACCGAATATTTTATTACTTATTAACAATAAAACTATGTTTCTGCCCTTAGAATAAAAGCCTGAAAAATAAACTCTTGTCAGGAAACAAGGTGTGTGGCCTCCACGCAGAAGAGGTGAGTGTCCTTGTATTCAGTAGGCTGCCTTTCTGTTTTAATAGTTCCATTTTTGTTTTGTTGTGCTGTGCAAAAGACTTTTAGTTGGATGCAATCACTTTTGTTTATATTCTCTTTTGCTTCTCTTGCTCCAAGAGCCTCCACAAAGAGATCATTATGACCAGAGCTATTTAATTATGAAATAAAATTAGAAAATAGAAATAGAAAAGCCTACATTTTCTTCTATGTATCTTATGCCTTCAGATCTTATATCCAAGTCTTCCATTTTTAATTAAATTTAGTATATGAACTACTAGAGTGGTCTCACTTCATTCTTTTGCTTGTTGCTATTCAGTTTTCTCAAAACCATTTTTGAGGAAATTTGTTTTCCACCATTGTATACTCTTGTCTCTTTCTCATAAATTAATCACCCATATGTGTATGATTTATTTCTGGAATATCAATTCTATTTCATTGATCTCTGTCCATTTATTGTTGTTGTTGTTACTTCATTGCCATTTGCTTTGATTACTGTAGCTTTGTACAAGTTAGGAGCCATGTTCTTTTTAGGGGCCACAAGGAAATGTCATCATGTTTTGACTTAGACAAAGTCTAAGATAAGCCACATGCCTAGATAAGCTGAAGAAAGGCTGAAAATGTATTTAGATTAATCGTCATGTGCCTACCTAATATTTGGGTTTCTTTCATTAAATAAGGTAAGTCTTTTCCTCAATGGAGACATAAATTATTATAAACATTAAAGTTAAAGACTAATGTAATAGTCTACTTAAAATGTCTTTACAGTAACATAGTATGTGATACAATGTTCACATACTAATTATCAATACATGGAAACTAAAGGTAGATGCCAGTTAAAGTGAATAATTAAAATCACAGCCTTGTAAATATATTCATTGTTGGTTTTGGTATTTTTTTAAACTTGTCATTTTATATGTAAATAAACCATTTTATATAATTGCTAGACATAGTACACATTGTATAATTTCTGAATATTACTTCCAAAGGATAATCAAGTAGAAAAACTTTTGAATGAGGATTGTCAGATTTAAAGCTATATTCTAGGAAGACTGAAACATTTCCAGGTTTTTGCACAACCCCCTTGCACCTTAAAGAAGGAAGGTACCTAAGAGAAGATATGTATTTGAAAGCAAACACATAAACAAATAATTGAGCCTTACCTATTCTTTTTAGCTCTTAAGTTAAAAATATCTTCTGTGACTTTATTCTTTATTAGAGGGCATATTATCTCTTTATTAGAGGGTATATTATTTCTTTATTAGAACTTATGGATTCATAGATGCTTTATATATTAGTATTGCTTGATATTACAATTAATTGTATATGTTGATAAATAAGTTACTCATTTATCCCATCTCTTTATTTATGGAGTATATTAAGAGTTAACATTGCAGGTAATGTATACATTTATTTTTATCTGTTATGTAAATGTTCCAAAGAATATAGTAGCAAGTATAAATATTTTGTTTTACCTTTACTACCAAAACACTTTAATAATGTTTTCTATTGTGTTAGAAACTAAAATAGTAGTGTGTCTTCTAGATTACTAGATAATTATAAATATCTTGTATTCATAGATATGTAAAACATACAAGGTCCCATTGACAATTAATTGCCAATGTTTTAATTTGCCATGGACGAATATTTTAAAAAATGCAGCCATCTAAAAACAGCATCTACCATGATCATAACTGTTATTTCATGAAATAAATGCTATTTGAACATAAAATGTAAGGAAGGAAAGCTCTTAGACTTTAAGATAGTCATTTAAGTAGAATAAGTAAGCAGAGCTAAACTGTGCTGTTACAGTTACCTTCCTTGTTGTCTTTTTAAATGGCTTTATCTCCTTATAAATCCTCCTCCTCATTAACATTATCTCAAACTTTAATTTTTTTGAGTACTAAAAATTCATGACTCACAGACACCAATGCAGAATTACATTTGAAATCACTAGTATGGTTAAAATAAAATTATTGGCATCCCTAATAGATAATTTCTCAACTGTTGGAAGGTTAGAACTCTGATAGTTTTACTTTTCAAAATGATGTAAACAAATTAAAAGAAAAAAAAAGCTCATTGAATTTTACACCAATACACTTTGCAAAAAAAGAAGCTCACTTAAAGTGTCTGTTCTTAGCATAATCTCTTCACATTTCTAGATAAAATTTTTACTTCACAGCTCCCTGAAAATTAAAAGTGGAATATAACAATGCAAAGTAATAGTAAATTACTGTGATGAGAATCATTTTTAAATAACCATAACTTGTCTCAAGAAAGCTAGCTTTTCATGGTCACTTAGTGAAGAAATGAGATGTAGGTTTTTATTATAACTTCTGAATGAATCACTGCATAATATGAAAATTGACAGTTTAATAATGACAAAGCTAGAAAGGATAGTTTAAATTGTACTTGGTGCATTCAGCATAATTATGAATTAAAACTGAATACCCAAAATAGCTAAAATTAATCCTTTCTGAAACTTGAAAGATAGAACATGTTATGCAGATGAGTGGAAGTGAATTTGGGGAAATAATGACACCATATGTAGTTGTAATCTCTTCTCCCATTGATATTGTTCAACATTAGTTTTAAAAGAGTCTGTTTTCCTAAGAGACTGCCATGGCTATAAAGCAGTACCAGACAGCAGATGGAGCAGCAGGGAGAAGATTCCAATCAAATGTGCATTTGAAGTTGGGAAAGATAACAGAAATAGTCTTTTACCATCAGTTGTGTAAAATTAAGGATAGTTATAGAAACCAGAAAGTGTCTTGGAGATAAAGCTAATGTAATGAGAGAGCTATGCTATCTGTAAAATCATTATTTTTAGTCACTTGAGAAACTGTGAGAAAGAGCAGAAATGTAGTAGACATAAGGTCCTGAGGTATAAGTATAAATTCAAAAGGCGCTAGTGTGACAGTTTCCCACATTGCAAATTCTACTCTGTTGCATGGTTTAAAATGTTCGGAATATGATAAGAAATTGCTATCATTTCAGAAAGACTTTCATACAATCAAAGACACTGTAAAATTGTAATATGTCAGGATGTGAATGCAATTTACTTATTTATTAAAAAGTGCCTCTGTAGCAACAGTTTACTAGGATTTGATAGTCCCATAAATATCTTGCTTTTATTATGTACTATGATCTCTGATCTAAAATATAATTTTATTGACATAATTTACATACAATTCATCCTATTTAATTGTAAATGTGTTGGGTTTGAACAATGTATATCTTCAAGAGATAGAGCATTTCTCTTTTCCACAAACCCTCTTATCAATTTCTAATCATATTTCTGTCCCTATTCTTTTCTATTCCAGAATATATATACCCAAAACATAGCTTCTGAATTCTTTCACATAGAGTAATTCTTTTGAAATCCACCCACATTGTTGTGTGTTTTAAACTTAATTCATTTTTAAAAATTTCTCAGTGGTATTCCAAATTCCATTTCATGTTTGTACTATAATATTTTATTTACTATTCACTAATTAATAGTCAGACTGGTGGTTTCTACCTTTTATCTATTATAAATAAATGTACTATAAACATTTATATGTATATTATGATTTCTTTTGGGTAAATGCCTAGAAAGAATGGCTGCATAATTATACAGTATGCATGTGTTTAACTTTATGAAAAACTGCCAAAATATTTTCCCAGAGTGACTATACCATTTTACATTCCCACTCAACTATTTTTCAGTGATCATTTTTCTCATGGGATGGCGGTATCTATTTGTTTGTGTTGTTTCTCCACCCCACTAAAGGACTGGTATCTATAATGTTAGAGGGAGAAGGACTATGTCCTCCTGTTAGAAAGTTTGAAAAAAGGATCTGCTCTGGAAAATGGAAACAGATGATCATCAGCTCTGTCTTGCTATATTATAGTGTGACAGCTTAACATGTCTGCTTAGAGAAACATCTTTGTTCAAAGCACATTTACTGTTATAATGATCTTGAAAGTTGTTTCTTCTGAAGGACAAATACCCTTCACAACTTCACGCTGGCCTCTGAGCCTTTGAAGTGCTTCCTTCACCTCTTGTCATGTCTGCTTGCCACCTTCCCCTTGGGCATATGTCCATCAACTTTGATCATTGATTTAACTTAAACACATTTAATCTTAAATTAATAATTATTTGAAAATGAACAATGAAAACTGAAGCATGCAGTCACATAGTTATAGTTAGCATTTAAAATTGAATTGTTTTTGAGGTCTGGGTGAGTTAAACTGTGTGTGTTTGTGTGTGTGTTGGTTTAGAAAAATGGAAGAAAATAGCAAAAAATTACCTTTCAATATTATCATTAAAAATCAGCATTTTTAGAATAAGCTGGTGTGTACACTTCTTGTCTAGAATAGCTGAATACCTGACTGCCAAAAAAAGATTAAGCTTTTCTGTTTCACTTCTGAACTATTTGGGCTCCTTTTTGTTTGGCTGTAGAATTTATTATCGTGCACTTTGAAATAATTTAAATCTTCAAGTTTGAAATAGAAATGAAATCAAGGCCCTAATCCATGTTTCTGCTCTTGCAGTCAAAAAAAATCCAAGCCCAGTTGAAGGAGCTTCGTTATGGGAAAAAAGATTTACTGGTGAAGGTAAGCATCATCCTCCTTTCCATATCCAACTTGCTAGTCTGATACCTAATGTATATACAACGTGATTACGTTACATTTAATTTCCAGATTTTTACAAGAATTAAGTTTTTTTGCAGCATTGAAATGCTTTTACTTTCATGACTGTTTAATAGTGATAAACTTAGATATATTTTCAACCAATATTCTTAATCAAAAGCAGATAGCATCCAAAATTTCAAAAGTATCTTGAGGAATACTGCTTTTTAAAATATTTATATTGAAAGAGCATATATTGAGCATGTTTCCATTCCAGCATTTTTTAACTACAAAAGTCCCCTGCATAAATGTCTTTATTATTAAGACTCCTCATATTGAACCATTGTTGGTTATATTGGGTTTTGGTTATACTGGTTATTGATACTTTGCTTTACAAGACTATCAAGTCAAGACCTGTGTAAAGACAACCTAAGACAACTATGAATGTAGTAGATTGAATAGTGCTGCACACCCTTCCCCCAAAAAAACATCTGTTTGATAATACTTGGAAACTAATATGTTAGTAGTTATGGAAAAGGAGAATTTGAAGATGTTAGTAAGTTACAGATTTTGAGATGAAAACATTATCCCAAATTTCCCATCTGGATCACAAATGTGAGCACTTAAGTCCTTATGAGACCAGAGTTTGTATTTTAGTGGTGAACATCTTTTATTTATATTTAACATTTTACACTATTCTGTGATGTAAATGACTTAATTTGATCTGTGCTACAGTCCTCATGAGACAGAGAAAGTGATAAAATCCATTTTACAGTGAGGGAATACAGACCCTGAAAAGTTTGAAATTTACTCAAGGCTGACAAAATATGTACTTGCAAAATAAATTTATTAACATTCAAATCATCATTCATTTCATCTATTTATTTTAAAATTAATTTATTTACTGACATATTATGAATCAAATGTATCTATTGGAACTCACAGTTATATCTTTGATAGCTTTTGATATAACATACTTATATCATTGTATCCAATTTTGATGATACTCTGGGGTATTTTTGGTGACAAACCAAATCATCAGTTCCTTCTGAAACTTCTGCACCAAAATGGCATGTCTGCACTTTAGAATTTTCTCTAGAAATCAGTCATGTAAAGGCAGCAAACTGTGTCAGATCATTTTCTGATTATTTGAGGCTTCTCTAAGAAAATTCTGTGAAACATTTGTCCCTTAATTTTTAAGCCCTTGTGTAATTTAATATAATCTTTGTGCATCTGTCTCTCATCATCTTGCATTTAACTCATCCACATGCTAAAACATGTTTAATGAGCAAAAGCATTTTCAGGACCAGACCATTCATTTGTTACAAGAGTCAATTCATCTTTGTTAAATGAGCTTTGGTCCTAAAAATGTAGACAATTTGCGAAACAGGTTACTGGGGTTACTTAGTTTACTGTCTTAAGAGACTTAACAGAACAACTTCAAGGCTTTCAAGACACATTTATTTTGTTGCTTATAATAATTGTAAAAGTCAGTCAGAGAAAGTAACACTACCACCTTATCCTGAATCAGAAAATCCAGTGAAGTTAAGTGACTTATCTGAGAATGTAGAACTAAATAGCTGAGTTTTATTCTATTCTAAGTCTTTTGGCTCCACTCTTATGTTTTTCCCATTTATATTCCTACTGAAAATCTTAGAGTGATTTGGAAATTATACATTTAAGAATTATCTTTAATAATCATAAGACTTATGGGCCTCCCTGGTGGTGCAAATGGTTAAGTCACAGCACTGTGAAGCTGTCCACAGCCACAGCAGTACAAGTTCTATCCCTGGCCAGCATGGCAGATGTTGTCTGAACTTCCCGCTGCTCTCTTCAGCAGTGTATTTCAGCCAATCCACCTGTTCTGCTCCCCACTGTCTTTAGTGAATCCTCTCACCCCCAACACCTCTGTCCTACACCCCATTTCTTGTATGCACAAATAAATCTTTTTTTAAATGTTAATCATTATGATATCTAAAGGGCAAACACAAAAACTGGAACTGGAAATTAGGGACACACAGATTGTTTGTAACTTAAAGTCAATGTTTTTAAAAATAGGAGCATTTTTAGTACAAGCTGTGATACTTTTGTAATTGTTAATTGCTTAGGACAGAAGTTTCTTTTCTGACTCCATATATTCTTATATATACCTTACTAGTTTTTGAAACTTGGATAAATGAATGGTCTATAGGTAGGATATATGGGAAATTAATTCACGTTGTCCAAATCAACTTTTCAGTCTTGTTCTTCCATAATTAAAGCATGACAACTTATATTGTTTTTTTTTTTTTTCATTAAATGTTGGATATGTAGTAGATTTGCAAAAGTAGATATCCAAACACTGAAAATCACATTACAGAACTTTTTAAGAAACCAAGTCCAAGCTTTTAAGGTCATTTGTCCACGATTACACAATTTCAATATAAGTTTCTTGATTTCATATTCATTCATTTGTGTAAAATGATTGAGATGTATTATCTGTCAATTACTTAAGAAAGTTTTCTTTCCATTTCACTGAGCTACTTTTGATTTGAAGTCAACAGATAAATTCCATGAAGATATTGTTTTCTCAGATTTTTTTTGTTGTTATTTATAATGAAATGTGGCATGTAGTATTTTTCTTACAGAGCATTTTGTGTATTTAAGTATCTAAAGTTATTTGTGAACTGGGCCCTCTTTGGTGGTGCAGTGGTTTGAAGTGCAGCACTGCAAAGCCACAGCCAGTGAAAGCCACAGCCAGTGAAAGCCACAGCCAGTGAAGCCCAAGTTTGATCCCTAGCCAGGTGACCCACATGGGGCAATAGACCTCTCCTGTCCTCCCCACTGATCCCCTCAGCAGTGTTCTTCATCAATCTGCCAGACAGATGGTTATTATAGAAATAATATTTAGGATGCTTATCACTTTTTTTAATTTACCATTGTAACTATTTTTTCCCTAATTCATGTTTTGAAATAAAAGTATATTATGAGATTTTACAGAGAGAAAAAGCAAAACAAAACGTGTTAAATGGCTTACACCAAGAACTGTAAACTCATTTTAAAAAGTGCATATTTTTGTGTGTGCCCATAGCATTCCTTTGCCTATTCCATAAATTGCTAATGTATCATGGTGTTCTTTCCCGCTGAGTGTGAATCTAGCCTCAAAATTATTCTTATGCCAAGATTTGAAGCTGTTCCTAAAAGACAGTCACAGTTGGTACTTAAAATAAGCCTATTTGCCATCCCTGAATGAACTTTAATGAACTCAGTTTTCAGTCTCTAGAGAACTACAGGATTTGTTCATCCTTGCCTCACCATTGAAGTAAATAATAATTGTTACATGCTCGCCAAAACTTTGTAGAGAACTCTAAGGCTGAGAAATGCTAGTGAATAAAAGTCATAAGTGGAAATCTCTGTGCAGAAAATAAAAATAAAGACAATTAACTTTAGATCAACCCTAGAAACTTTCCCCCGGGGTTTGAGAAAATGGGGTGAGATTTAAATTGTTGATCATTTCTACCTAATCATTTTTTTGAATGTCATAAAATTTTTATTAGCTAGAAAATGAAATTGATCGAAGTTCCAGGAAGAAAGCTGTTACATAAGGTTGGCAAGTTAGGCATAACTCCAAGAAAGGAAGTTGACTTTAATGGAAGATGTGTTAGGGTGGGCACTGTCTAGACTTTTTTCCCCACATTATGTTTGTGGAGGTTATGTCTTTGAATCTGCTTCAGGGGGTGTAAGTTCAAACCTCTATAATGCGTCATTTCAATCCTGCCTTCCACCAGTGACCCAAACCTTCCACAGTGTTCCCCTGGGGCCCTCCTGTCCTCCACACACACCTCATCACCCTCCCACTCTGGTTGCTTTAGATTTGCAGTCAGATGTTAAAAGTTTATTACTGGTTTGGTTTTGACTGATCTTATATTGTGCTTATCTGTATTCCACACCATCTAGTATTAAGTGACACCATCTAGTATTTTTTTTTCTCATTCTGACTTATTTTGCTTCATATCACCTCTACAGCTCCATCCATGTTGCTGCTACCTATTGTCTTATTCATTATGTTTTGTATGTGTCTTGGCTTAGGAAGATGTACTCCCACTGGGTGGGGCTCTCAACCTTTATTGAGTGCTTTTGAATTTGCTTGGGTCATGTGTAGAGCAATGGAGCATCTTGGACCTTTGGGGATATTATATGGATTATCCCAGTGTTCATTCTGGGCACAATCTTCACCCATTGATGCCTTGATTTCTTTACAACCCAAATATTGTCCCTTCTTTTTTTGGGTGAGACATCAACTGTTTCTTCTGAACACATTGAAAGTTTGTGTGTTTCTGATCAGAAATCCTCTTAGATTCTGAAAGTATAGATTAGAACGTTGGTCCTTGGATAGAATTACTGCTCAGAGGCCTAGTGTTTCCCTTAATTAAGTTACAGTAGTATCTCTACTCTAAAGAAAAATTTTTCTGGTATTTTAAATATTACAAAGAATGAACAGTGAGGGAAACAGTAATTTCACTCATTATGCAATTTTTGTAATGACTTGTTGGTCACTTCCTTTATCTTAATGATAATGCCAACTATAATTTTAGGAAACAAGAGGAAGTTATTATTCTCCTTTGTATACTGCTTTGGCAGCACAATTAGATGTTCTTCTGGGGGTGGCAGGAGACATATCGGAAGTGTGTTTATGAATTTGCTTTATTGCCCTTATTTTATTGTTGTTACTCCATGACTAAGATGTTTGTTAACCCATGCATGCTAAAAGAAGAATTACCTCTGAAGGCACTTGTGTACGAAGTTGATGCAACTGACAACATTTAGAGGAATGTTAAAAAGGATATTTCTCCATAAAGTTCATAAACTTTAAAAAAGGAATGGGTCTCTCTGGTGGCACAAGAAGTTAACTCTCAGCATTATGAAGCTCTCTGCAGCCACTGCAGCACACAGATGGATCCCCAGCAGCCTGGGAGCTGACCTGTAGGGCGCAGCAAACCTCCTGT